TGGCCAATCAAAGCAAAGTTCATTAAACATGAGCTTAGTGAATTTTGCTCTGATTGACTAAATTTTAATTCAATCTCAATTTTAATCTATAGTCTGATACGGGCTTTAGACGCTCGACCGCAACGTTATTTTATTCTTGTTTAACATCCAGTGAGAAACAAAGATAGAATAACGCCGTGATCGACGCGAAGGTTTAGCGGAACGTAGCCGATATACGACGAGCGATATGGCTAAGTTCCCACTTAGCGCGTCAAGCGTCGCGTCATCCGAATTAAGCCAATCAAATCGTCCCATTTTATTCGGCGTAAAGTTACGCAATAAAATGAGACAATTTGATTAGCTTAACTCAGAGGACACAACGCGTGACGCGCTAAGCGAGAACGCACCCATATCCAATAAGCGTATAGGTATTTCGGAAAAGCTATACGCTCATTGGATATTGTATATTGAGTGTTGCTTCGCAAATCACATTAGCTGCGATAGTCAATTCAAAAGTTGGAATTTAACATTTTTCTCCCCACGGAATGTTATTCACATATTTCTGAACACACAGAACATTAATTGGCTACCACTAATATTCCCAGCCAACTTCAGCCGCGTAGCAACGTTTGCTGTGAGCAATAGCAGAGAGAAACATGAGAGCGGCCACTGGTCTGATTTCAGCGATCAGAGCTAGGCGCATTTTAGATACGCTATCTAACCAAAATCTAACTATATCCGTCAGGCACACTTTCGCAGTGTAACTTTCATATAATGATAGTAAGTTAGAAAAGAACAGACGTCCAATCGCTCTGTTCTTGACTCACCACTAATGAACGACCGCGCGACGTAACACAAGGGGTGCGTTCTTTTATTCGCAACAGATACAACCCGATGCATCCGATGCATAATTTAATCGTTCTGTATATCCAATTGCGCATATCAAGCTGCAGACTGCGTAAATCTTGACCGTTCTTTAATTTAAGTTGCAAGCAGAATCGTGCAACTGCTTGCAACTTTTAGCATCCCAATCCAAGCGGCTGCCGAAAAATTGAAGCCTGAGTTCCGAATATGCAGGAATCTTAAGTACGAATATGGTTCTTGTGGAAGGTGTGCAGGAAGTAGTACGTTTCTCAGACAGCACACAATATTTATGATAAATATTCATTTCGAATTATTTCTTAAAAATATTATATAAATGTAATATAAATATTTTAT